CATGCAGTCGCCGTATGGTGGAGGTGGTATGAGAGGGGGACGGTCTTGCTGTTGTAGACCTATGGGCGGACTAGGTGGCACAGGAGGGAGAAGTACAGGCTACGGGGGTTATGTTGCCGGTGGAATGGGTTCAGGTGGAAGTGGCGGCATTGGCAACTACGGCGGAATGAGCGGGTACGGTGATCGAGGGGCTGCAGACAGAGGTTACGGAGGTGCAACTGGCGGCTGCGGTGGAATGAACGGCGATAGAGGTGGATACTTTGGTAGATATCGAAGTGTCAGACGACACAGCGTAACAAGCACTGACCGACGTTTGAGAAATGATGCACGGAATGGTGGCAAAAAGATCAGCCCGGTGGTACTCAGCGGAACAGTGGAGCAGATGAGTGACACTTTTCCATCGGGTTTGGCTATTGGCGTGGACGGACTTCCAGACGGTGTCCAGAGAAATATAACAGGCCTGCAGTGGCCTAGGCGCAATAAAATCTGGGAAAGCGATGATTCCGGAGAAGCCGAGAAATCGGAAGAAGCCAGCAGTCGAAATGCATCAGTCAAATCCGTTATCCGAGCCGCACCTGGTACGCACTTTTTTTTATTTGAATTTTAGTCCGGTGCCTGTTCTAAGTGCCCAGTACTGTTCTAACGGAATCCTAGTGTGCTGTCACTTCTCGGTTCGCACTTTCTATTGATTTCATATTTTAAAAGGCTGATCTGAAGTACTTTTTTTTTGAAAATTTTTACAGTGTGGGTTGAAAGTTCTGGAGCCTAGAAATTGCTATTAGCACTGGTTCACAAGGATGCCAGTAGAAAAGATGCTGTTTTCTAATCCACCGTGTATTTAAAATCTCTGTAATGCAAGGACTTTGTATAGCTGTGTACGTCATGCGAAAGTATTTCAGTAGCATCACTATCATGAGGTGCTCACAGCAACTGTAAAGGCGGTCTTAAAATTCTTGGTAATGTCGACATGAAATTAAATGCAAAATCACACTAAGAATAAAACACCCTTTTTTGAGGCAAAAACGATTTATTCTGCTCTTTTCAGAAAACGCCGTCCTTCCCTCTCTTCCATT